TTGCTTTTGAAGGCAGTCTTATTGAAAGCATTCGTAGATTCATCGTGTGATGTACATACTCAGACTCATGGGCTGACGAAGAGCATGATGCCTTGCAGTTTTGCTCTTGATCGTCATCAAGAGAAGGGTCTTTTGCGAAGGTCGCCTCGTCAACCTCAAGTAGATCGTGCGCTGCAAAACGGTTGCTGCTTGGAAACCGTTTGCAGCCGGTGGTCTTGTTGCCACCCGATCCACCCGAGAGGTCTTGTGCCTCCAGCTTGACTAAATCCCTCATGAGGGTAAGCCAATCTGTATACGTCACAAGTCCGAGCCCCAGGCGATGTGTCACAGTAGAGGGGACCGTACCTTTTATCACATCCAAGCAAGACTGTGCAGTCATCTCCAGATCCGGAGTAGCAAAAAGTTTACTAACATATTGCTGCAGACTAAGCATGGTGCCGGTCCACTTGCTGTGCAAGTCTAGCTTTGGCTGCAACATGTGGATCAGCATATTGTTTGATTAAGAGTTCCTCGAGTGTGGCTATAGGCGTAGCCTTCAGCCATTTGTTCAGGTCTATTCTTTTATAGCCTGGCTGTACAGCTTGGACTTCTAAGAAGCCCCTCATGGTGGGTTCCACATTCGTCCCTAGGACCGACGACTGAGTCACTAGGGGTGTCCCCAGCACATCAAAGTAGGATCGCACGGAGCTGATCCAAGATTCAATGTCATATTTTCCGTCATACTTAGAGGGAATCTGTGCCGCCTTCCTGTCCACATAGGGAAAGCTGCAGCTAGGACCAGCAATTGCTGGGTCCGAATTCGGAGCTGCAACAGTTCCAGAATGTCCTGCTCTGCCACTTGCCGCTGTAACAGCAGCAGCAGCAACAACGGGGTCTGGACCTGCTGCAGATCCGGTTACGCTGTTGGCTGCACCTGAAGAAGAGGAGGAAGAAGAAGAAGATACAGTTGAGAGGAGCAAGAACGGACTGACACGCAGCACCAGGAGCAGGGTAAGCAGGCGGAAGGACACTTTGGACCGGCTGCAAGCTAGCAAACTGTTGCAGCTGGTCACAGTGCTGCTGCGCCATCAGGGCCATATCCTCACGCAACTTGTTGAGTTCATCAAACACCTTGGCGAGTTGGCCTGTATGGTCTTCAACAGCCCGGAATTCTACTAAAGCCCTGAGAAGTGGGACAGTCTTATCTTCCACCTCATCATCAGTTAAGGCGGGCACGGTACTGAAGACGGCTTCATGAGCCTTTACTTTGTCTCTCCTCTCCTTTTCCTTCTCCTCCTCTTTCCTCTTCAATGGTTTTTCATAAAAGAACTGGTATTGCTAAGCATGCCTGGCAAGGCGGGGGGGGGGCTGGAGGGGAAGGGCGGGCAGCATCGTGGATAGAGAACCGTAGGTTGGACATGTAAGGCGGGAGAAGGCAACAAATACATACATGAAATACGTGAAAACGGGACAACGACAACAATACGGGGACGAACCCAAGAAAGTGAATACTGGAGGATGAGAAGGAGAACGTCGGAAGATGAGGGGGTGGGGGAAGAAAGAACGGAGAAGGACGAGGGCGATGGGAACGAGGGGGAAGAGGAAGAGGAGGACGAGGAGGAAAAGGAACAGCAAGAGGAGAGGGGGAGGCGAAAGCCGAAAAGGATGGAGGGTAGGAAGGGACAAAGAGATGGAGCTAGAGGAAGGGAAGTAGGAGGAGAAAGGGGAAGCACGAGACGAAGAGCGAAAGTACAGAGGAGGGTGATGAGGGAGGAGGGAAAAAGTTAGGGGGAAAGTCGGCAGGCTGGGGGGGGGAATGCTAAAGGTGCAAAACCGCACCACATGGCTGTGCTACATAGCTCAATTTTTTTCATTTTTTCTTTCCCATAATTTGTGTTTGTGTATGTGTGTGGGAGAGAGAGAGAGGGAGAGAGATGGGGAAGAGGGTATGGGGACGGGGGGAAAGCTTGGGGGGAAGTCGAAGGAAGGTTCGGGAAATCGCGCCAAGTGGTTAGGATGCGACTCGTGCCCTTTCTTTTGGTTTTATTTTGTGTGTGTGTGTGTGTGAGAGAGAGAGAGAGAGGGGGGGTGGGATGAGAAAGGAGGAGGTGGTGGTAGAGGGGGGGAG